TAAGATGGTTATTTCAAACCCCAGACTAAAAAATGGACATGAAAACTACTACAAACCATCATACATGTCTTTAATACAGGTTTAACGGAGCCAGAGAGCTCCCCTGAGCCATCTGGGAGGACTCTGTGCTGCCGGAGGACAACTCTGCTCCTCTCAGACCAGGACGATCACCTCTCCACTCCTCACAGGCTCAACTTTGCCTCAGCCCCAGGACCATGCATCCTTTGGGGCAGGCTCTAGCTGTGTAGCTGAGGTAAATAAACCCAAACAAACCCAGTCCAAGTGAGTTACCTGCCTTTGAGCAGGACAGTTTACTCACCATTTTGTTTACCGTTGCTGCAGAGGTGATGCTTAACGCTGAACCATGATCTCGACTGGGATGCTGCTAGAACAGCACAAAAAAGGGAGCAAACTGCTCTTCTGCACCTCGCAGCCTGTCCTGTCTCTAATCTCCTCCTGGGGTCCTTTTATAAAGTTTCTCTTAGTACTGACCAGAACAAAAAAGCTTATCAAGCACACACATTAAAAAAAAAAGCATTTTGGAGCCACATTAATGAATCCTTAGTGTTACATGGATAAAGGTCAAGAAATGCAAAAAGTTATGGTTCCCATAGTAATGCTAATTCAACCATACTGCACATCCTGTGTATTTAGTGGTACACGTTGAAAAGAAAAAGGCTTCATCCACCGATGCCAAAAAGGTTTTTGGTTTAGTAAAGACACTTGAGTGCCACTCCCCACATGCAACATTTATTGTTCAGAGAAGTGGATTTTCAGGTCGAATTGGATTAAGCCAATCTAAGCATCATTACAACTCCCCATACCTACGGCAATAGCAAGAGCTCTCAAGCATGATTACAGACTGAACATCATTTGCCCAACCTGAACAGAGGAAAGGGACCCAGGCGTCAGAACGGGTTGAGTCACCAAATCGCAGTTGGCGCTGATTCTGCACTTGGATGCAGCAGGGAGGTGGTAAGGAGAGAGGGGAGAGAATAACTGACCAACCCCCCCACACCCATAACTAGTAACTGTTAATCCATTTCTATAAATGCTCATTTCTTTGATACTGACAGCCTGAAATATCCCCTTGCCTAGTATCCCACCTCACGAGTCCGGAAACAGGTTGTGAATGAACTACAGCTATGCTGACCTCTCTCCAGCACAAATCTGCGTACTGCTCTGCTCTCCAAGCTCCTGAGGTCTTATCTTCATGCTTTACATAAAGCCCACACCACTCTTCCCAGAGAGAACAGCTACAAGTGGTCCATTTGCATTTAGCAGCTTTGACTGAGCAACCAGATTTGCATGGGAAGCAAAAGACTCTTTTTGTGCCATAGGAAATGCATTAAATCAAAGGGGTTTATACATTTGTATTGGAGCAGAGGATTACTCCTCTGGCTATGTGTCTGGGAGGGAGGAAAGATAGAGCAGAGATCTTGCAAACTCCTTTAAGAGGCAAGAGGGTAAAGAGGAGGGAAGGCAGCTCTCAAGCACAGGGGCAAAGCTTGCAGTGGAAGAAACATGTACATTTGTGGGGGCATGTGTCCTTTTTCCCTCCAACAAGTCTGAATTCGTTTCCTAGTTCCCGTGATCTCAGACAGAAGGGCACAGTTCAGGACAACAGACACCTTTGAACTTCAAAAACCTGATAGGTAAAGAGAGAGGCTCTGGCAGCACTGCTGTTGAAGAGACCCTCAGCCCTGCTAGACACCAGGGCTCCCACACAGCCCTGCTCAGATGACACCGAGCTGATGGAGCTGCTCATGGAGCGACATCAACCCCAGAATCCACAGCAGGACACAGGCACAGGAACACACAGCAGAAGTCTTTCCACCCACAGGGTTACTGGGTGGCTGTTCTTTCACTCACACCCCTCAGGCTCTTGCTGTCACTGTCCCTTGGGGTGCACCCACTTCCCTTTTGGGCTCTATCATCAAGCCTCCATGTTTTAAAGAGGCTTTTCAACCCTCCCAACAGCTGCAATTCCTGGCTATTCCTTGGAGCTGCACAAATCCCAGACAGCATCTAGCCACACCTGCCAAGGGTAACAAGGATTTGGTCATGCTTTATCTTATCTAAGCGACGATGACGCTCGTCTTCCGTGTTGGGCAAAGCTCAGCAGCTCTGCACCTGCTGAGGAGAGGAGCTGGGCAGGGGCCAGGAGCTTCAGCCTGTAGCGATTCACACCAGAGCGGGATGGCTCTGCTGGCCTACCTGTCTCACCCCACAAACAACTGGGCATTTAGTCCACAAGCAAGAGTTATGGGGAAAATAAGGCTCAGCAATATTTACACATCTCATCTCACCTTCACCTCATCTGCTAGCACAGGCATACAGCTCACACGTACCACAGTACAGCCACGCTCATCCTTGCCAATAGATAAGCCAGTCAATTTTATTTTACAGGGAGTCAGACCATTTGTCCAGAGAGAAGACTTCAACATCCATCATACTGTCAATCTACAGGTCACCTACAGCTTAAATTCCCAGCTGGAGATGAGCTGGGTTTCATCGTCTTCATTTTACAGAGGGAAAACTGAGGCAGATAAAAGCACTACTACTCAGAGATGTTTTGCTGAATGAGATGGAAAAGTATTCAGCTACTATAACAGTGAGAGCCACCAAGATTTTCTGTATTACGCGTTAGATGTGCCTCCCCACACCTGCACCTCTCCCAACCTCCTGCTACACCCAGCCAAGGGCTTACAGCTAGCCTGCGGTCTGCTTCTAACCCTCCTTTTCCAGAGGCTGGACTCATCTAGCTATGTCCAGACATAGCTGGATTTTTCCTCAAAGGTTTGCTTTCCATAGCCTAAATGACATATTTAAACATTCCACAATTTTATTTTTAACACCATACAGCTACCAGTCCTACTCCTCCAAGGGTCTGCAGATATCCTGCTTGTTATACTTTTGAAGAGCTTGAGATAGGAAGCAATAAAGAGCTAGATACTGTTACCTTGACTGCACAGCTACAACAACCGGACCCAACATTTTTCAAGCCTTCTGTCCTGGTTTCGGCAGGGATAGAGTTAATTTCCTTCCTAGTAGCTGGTACAGTGCTGTGTTTTGGATTTAGGATGAGAACAAAGTTGATAACACACCCATGTTTTAGTTGTTGCTA